TTCGCCCGGCTGAGGAACCGCTCCCGAGCTCGGCCCCGGTGCTTGGGGGTCCTGGCTCTGCCCAAAGCTCTCGGTGGGGCAAACCTGTGGGCTGCGGGGCCGAGGTGCGGGCAGCGCCGGGGAGAGATGGGAGGATGGAGCCGGGCGGTGCAGGGGGATGTGTGCACGTCCGGGGATGTACACGTGGATGTATGCACGGGTATATGTGCGGATGCATGTGTACATCCACACGTATATCTGTGGATATATGTGTGGAGGTTTGCATGGATGTACATACACATGGATGTATGCATGGATATATGTGTGGATGTATGCATGGATGTATGTGTGGATGCATGCATGGATGTACACATGGACGTATGCACAGATATATGTGTGGAGGTTTGCATGGATGCACAGATACAGGGATGTATGCACGGATGTATGCATGGATATATGTGTGGATGTATGCATGGATGTACACATGGATATACACATGGATGTATGCATGGATATATGTGTGGAGGTTTGCATGGATGTACATACACATGGATGTATGCACGGATGTACGCATAGATATACGTGTGGATGTATGCACGGATGTACACATGGACGTATGCACAGATATATGTGTGGAGGTTTGCATGGATGCACAGATACATGGATGTATGCATGGATATATGTGTGGAGGTTTGCATGGATGTACATACACATGGATGTATGCATGGATGTACGCATGGATGCATGCATGGATACATGTGTGGATGCATGCATGGATGTACACATGGACGTATGCACAGATATATGTGTGGAGGTTTGCATGGATGCACAGATACATGGATGTATGCACGGATGTATGTGTGGATGTATGCACGGATGTACACATGGATGCATGCATGGATATATGTGTGGAAGTTTGCATGGACGTACATACACATGTATGTATGCATGGATATATGTGTGGATGTATGCATGGATGTACACGTATATGTACACATGGATGTATGCGTGGATGTACATGTGGATGTATGCATGGATTTATGTGTGGATGCATGCATGGATGTACATGTGGATGTATACAAGAATGTACATGTGGATGTACACGTGGGTGTACATACCGATGTGCACATGGGTGGGTAACCTGGGAGCTCAGTGGTGAAAGTGGCTGCCCACCACTGACCCGGGTTTCGGGGGCAGAGAGCGGGTGCCCAGGAGCGTCTGGCAGGGAACGGGCAGAGGTTGATGGATGGGGCGGATGACAAAAGGAGCTGAGGCAGGAGTTGGGTGGGCTGGATGGGCGTCCGGAGGAAGGTGACAACTGGTACAAGGAGCTAGAAAGCAGGGGTTGACGAGCCATTAGCTGGGCGCTGGGACTGCTGGGCGTTGTGCAACCGCGCGGGCAGAGATCGCGGCCCCCTCACTCCTTCCTGACCGCGGAAGCGGTCTCAAGCCGCTGGTACTTGAGCCGCTGATGCGCTCTCTGCCGCGTGGCCAGTGCTTGCCCCATCTGGGCCAGGGGTGAGCAGGTCCAGCGGTGCCAAGCACTGGGGCTGGGGCTGGATTTCCCACTGCTGGTACCCACGTCCCAGGACAACCATAAACCTTTTGGCTGGGAGAAGCCTCCAGGCTGACTTCTGCTCCTGGTTGGCCTTCCGTGCTGAAAGTGACACCAGTCCGATGACCACCTCGGCAGCGCTGCCGGCCTCACCATGTCCCAATAAATACCAGCGTCAAGGATTTGCTCTCCTTATCGCTGTCCCTTTCCTCCAGTTTCTTCGTTCCCCCGCTCAGCTGCACAGCAATGAGTATATTTTAGCAAACGAGGCATTGGCGTTCCTTTTGGAGGCCCTCAACTAGGAAATCCTGCTGTCGGTGACCCTCACCACAACCACAACTGCCCGCAGGTTGTGGTCCTCGCTGCTCCCCCACCACCCCTATAGATGCCCCCAATGCCCTACACGGCCGCTCGGGGTTTTGCAATCTTCTGCTCATGGCAGTGGTTTTCGGTTCACCGAGGTTTTTCCCTATCACCTGCAGACTTTCTCTTTCATGCTATAAAAAGGGATTTAAACCAGCACTAAAACCATCTGGGCTTTATCTTCCCTCTTGAGCGGAGCGGCTCTGTTCAAGGCCACTGGTGGGAAGTCTCGGGTCTCTCTGCACCGCTTATCTCCCTGCCTTGCTGAGAGGTGCCCTTTCACACGGCAAGATTAGAAGAGGGAAGGACCGTGGGGAGAAGCAATATCTTTATTGGACCAGTTGGGGCAATTGAAAAAAGGCAGCCCCGTTCCCGGCTCTGCCTTCCCTTGCTGGGACTCCAAAACCTCGGCTGCTTCTTGCAGCCCCGTCAGCTGCCGTAGCAGAGGGTTTTCTTCCCCCGCAGCCACTTCCCGGGCTGCCCTTTGGAAGCTGCTTTGGAGAATGTCCCCAATTCCTCAAAAAACACCAGCAAAATTCCCCTGTGGGTTTTTGCTTCCCGTTGGGTCTCCCTTGGGATGGTCGCGTGTCGCTGCACAGGCTCCAGCACTTCCCCTTCTGAGCGGCCCCATGATATTTTCCCTGTTGTCTCCCCGCCCTCGCAGCGAGGAGCCCACAGCCCGTGCCTCGGTTTCCCCTGCCAGGTCTTGCTGGGAAAGATGGGAATATGATTTCCCATGCTGAGCTTGCCCGACAGCCGAGAAAAGGGAGAGAAAAAGGGTCTGAAAGGAGGCGAGGGGCCGCTGGGCGCCATTTGGGACATGGGCTGCCCTGGGCCTCCGCTTCCTGCTGCTCCCATGAC